GTAATAGTAGCATTACTACTACTACTTAAATACCCCCCACCTCCCGCAGCTCACAGTATATAAATTAAATACCCCCCACCCTCCCGCAGCTCACAGTATATAACTTAAATACCCCCACCTCCCGCAGCTCACAGTATATAACTTAAATACTCCCCACCTCCCGCAGCTCACAGTATATAACTTAAATACCCCCCACCTCCCGCAGCTCACAGTATATAACTTAAATACTCCCCACCTCCTGCAGCTCACAGTATATAACTTAAATACTCCCCACCTCCTGCAGCTCCCCAGTATATAACTTAAATACTCCCCCCACCCTCCCGCAGCTCACAGTTTAAAAACTTAAATACCCCCCACCTCCCGCAGCTCACAGTAAAAAACTTAAATACTCCCCACCTCCTGCAGCTCACAGTATATAACTTAAATACTCCCCACCTCCTGCAGCTCACAGTATATAACTTAAATACCCCCACCTCCCGCAGCTCACAGTAATATAACTTAAATACTCCCCACCTCCCGCAGCTCACAGTATATAACTTAAATACTCCCCACCTCCCGCAGCTCACAGTATATAACTTAAATACTCCCCACCTCCCGCAGCTCACAGTATATAACTTAAATACCCCCCCACCTCCCGCAAACTCACATTATAACTTAAATACTCCCCCCTCCCGCAGCTCACAGTATATAACTTAAATACCCCCCCCACCTCCCGCAGCTCACAGTATATAACTTAAATACCCCCCACCTCCCGCAGCTCACAGTATATAACTTAAATACCCCCCACCTCCCGCAGCTCACAGTATATAACTTAAATACTCCCCACCTCCCGCAGCTCACAGTATATAACTTAAATACCCCCCACCTCCCGCAGCTCACAGTATATAACTTAAATACCCCCCACCTCCCGCAGCTCACAGTATATAACTTAAATACCCCGCAGCTCACAGTATATAACTTAAATACTCCCCACCTCCTGCAGCTCACAGTATATAACTTAAATACCCCCCACCTCCCGCAGCTCACAGTATATAACTAAAAACCCCCACCTCCCCCACTCACAGTATATAACTTAAATACCCCCCACCTCCCAGCTCACAGTATATAACTTAAAAAACTCCCCACCTCCTGCAGGTCACAGTAAAATAACTTAAATACCCCCCACCTCCCGCAGCTCACAGTATATAACTTAAATACCCCCCACCTCCCGCAGCTCACAGTATATAAGTTTAAAAACTCCCCACCTCCCGCAGCTCACAGTAAAATAACTTAAATACCCCCCACCTCCCGCAAACTCACAGTATATAACTTAAATACCCCCCACCTCCCGCAGCTCACAGTATATAACTTAAATACCCCTCACCTCCCGCAGCTCACAGTATATAACTTAAATACTCCCCACCTCCCGCAGCTCACAGTAAAATAACTTTAAAAACCCCCCACCCCCGCACTCACAGTATATAACTTAAATACTCCCCACCTCCCGCAGCTCACAGTATAAACTTAAATACCCCCCCCCCTCCCGCAGCTCACAGATATAACTTAAAACCCCCCACCTCCCGCAGCTCACAGTAAATAACTTAAATACCCCCCACCTCCCGCAGCTCACAGTATATAACTTAACACTCCCCACCTCCCGCAGCTCACAGTATATAACTTAACACTCCCCACCTCCCGCAGCTCACAGTATATAACTTAACAACCCCCACCTCCCGCAGCTCACAGTATATAACTTAAATACCCCCCCACCTCCTGCAGCCCACAGTATATAACTTAAATACCCCCCACCTCCCGCACTCACAGTATATAACTTAAATACCCCCCCACCCCCCGCAGCTCACAGATATAACTTAAATACCCCCCACCCTCCCGCAGCTCACAGTATTAACTTAAATACCCCGCACCTCCCGCAGCTCACAGTTTAAAAACTTAAATACCCCCCACCTCCCGCAGCCACAGTATATAACTTTTAAAAACCCCCCCACCTCCCGCAGCTCACAGTATATAACTTAAATACCCCCCACCTCCCGCAGCTCACAGTATATAACTTAAATACCCCCCACCTCCCGCAGCTCACAGTATATAAACTTAAATACTCCCCACCTCCCGCAGCTCACAGATATAACTTAAATACCCCCCCCCCTCCCGCAGCTCACAGTATATAACTTAAATACCCCCCACCTCCCGCAGCTCACAGTATATAACTTAAATACCCCCCACCTCCCGCAGCTCACAGTATATAACTTTAAAAACTCCCCACACCTCCCAGCTCACAGTAAATAACTTAAATACCCCCCACCTCCCGCACTCACAGTATATAACTTAAATACCCCCCACCTCCCGCAGCTCACAGTAATATAACTTAAATACCCCCCACCTCCCGCAGCTCACAGTATATAACTTAAATACTCCCCACCTCCCGCAGCTCACAGTATAAACTTTAAAACTCCCCACCTCCCGCAGCTCACAGTATATAACTTAACACTCCCCACCTCCCGCAGCTCACAGTATATAACTTAACAACCCCCACCTCCCGCAGCTCACAGTATATAACTTAACAACCCCCACCTCCCGCAGCTCACATATAATAACTTAACACCCCCCACCCAGCCGCAGCTCACAGTATAAAAACTTAACACTCCCCACCTCCCGCAGCTCACAGTAAAATAACTTAACACCCCCCCACCTCCCCAGCTCACAGTATATAACTTAACACTCCCCACCTCCCGCAGCTCACAGTATATAACTTAACACTCCCCACCTCCCGCAGCTCACAGTATATAACTTAACACTCCCCACCTCCCGCAGCTCACAGTATATAACTTAACAACCCCCACCTCCCGCAGCTCACAGTATATAACTTAACAACCCCCACCTCCCGCAGCTCACAGTATATAACTTAACACCCCCCACCTGCCGCAGCTCACAGTATATAACTTAACACTCACTATTCAGAAGAGGCACAATACGGTAGTTGGAACATTACACAAATAAACCGCACGTGGGTGAATGAAACTTACGGCGACGTTTATGTTATTTGTGTTCTATACTCTCTCTATTCCCTCGTATTGTTCTTATCGGCTTGATAAAGCCGACACCAACTTATTCTTAATATAAGTAACATTCGTTGCTCTTGTCTTCTTTTATCTAACATATTGTCCTTAATTTTGTCAGTTATTATCAGTACTTCTCGTATGCAAAATATAAAAATATTAATCCATGAGAATGTTGGTCTCCTACTTAAAAGAGGTGCGTATACAAAGGAAGAGAAGAGCAAATTTTGAACGGACAGTGTTAATGTGTGTTTAGTTGTTTAAAAGAGAACACGAGAGTAAACAATAATAAATATTCAGTTTTTACATAAATGACTCACTGTAAAAAAAAAATTCTTAATAAAAACACAAATACCACAGTCTTCGCCCAAAAAAAGTATTGGCATATTGCTCGTGCACTCGACGATGTGACTTAAATCATGGATAATAATTTTTACATGAAAAATACCAGCAGCGAGAGTGCTTAGCTTGGTTTAAATGAGGAGTTAGGGCTTCAGTGAGATTCCACAGACTCTGGCGAAGCGCGAACATAGACTTGCTCAAGAAAGCAGCAGAATGCGTGTTAAATATTTACAAACTCGTGTGCGTTACTCAGCGCAAATAGGATGGAAGCTCAATCCCAAGTCCGGTAATTGCCTGTACAGGTTGTTGTGATAGCATCAGCGGGTAGAGGAGCGATCAGAAGAACTGCAGTCCAGTCACACTGTCTTACATAAAACAAGGTAGTGCTGCGAAGGTAACTTGTCTGTTTTATGACAAGACTTCATAGTGCTCAACAACACAGCTTAGAGAAGATCTTACTTATTACAATCAGTAAACCACCACATAAAAATATCACAACTAGTAGACCACTACACAAAAAATAAAAACAGAAGCATTGGCATAAACTCATAATACACACATTATATACACCGAATATGTCTCGGGCAATTGACAAATGCGAACATATAAAATGAGACCAATAAGTATGCTAGGAAACATAGGGATATTGATAGATTATGCTGCACAGTTCTGGTCACCGTATTACAGAATGGATATAAATGCTCTGGAAAACGTACAGAGGAGGATGACGAAGTTGATCCCATGTATCAAAAATCTTCCCTATGAGGATAGACTGAAGGCCCTGAATCTGCACTCTCTCGAAAGATGTAGACTTAGGGGGATATGATCGAGATGTATAAATGGAAAACAGGAATAAATAAAAGGGATGTAAATAGCGTGCTGAAAATTTCCGGCCAAGACAGGACTCGCAGTAATGGTTTCAAGTTGGATAAATTCAGATTCAGGAAGGATATAGGAAAGCACTGGTTTGGTAATAGAGTTGTGGATGAGTGGAACAAACTCCCGAGTACAGTTACTGAGGCTAAAACGTTGTGTAGTTTTAAAAATAGGTTAGATAAATACATGAGTGGGTGTGGATGGATGAGTTGGACCTGACTAGCTTGTGTTACTAGGTCTGATGCCGTGCTCCTTCCTTAAGTGGAAGTAACCTGACTAAGTGGGTCATTGGGCTAATCCGAGGAGGAGAGACATGGACCTGCTTCGCATGGGTCAGTAGGCCTGCTGCAGTGTTCTTTCTTTCTTATGTTCTTGTATTTATTTATTCTAACCGATCACACAGAGTGGTGGTAAACTGTACGAAATTCAGTCTTAGTAGAATAAGCAGTTGAGTACTGCAAGGCACTGTCCTGGTCTTGGTATCTTTACTGTTTCTCATCCCAGTTGAAGATATAGATAGAAACACTAGTCGCGGTTTGCCATCTTCTAGTACGTACACTAATATAACAAACATGAAACTTACCTTTGTAGTACACTTAGGGGAAAACTTCAAATAGATTTAAAATATGTTACAATTCTTATTTTTATTTAAAGTTATCTAAGGTTTATTACTTTAGTAATTCCCGTGATGCTGTGTTGTGATGTAATGTGAGGTACGTTATGTTGCAGGCAGACAGTGCGTCTCCTAGCGGCAGCCTTGACGATACTACGGGGAATGGCGTGGGCGCCACCACCACCACTCACCTCACTGCTCAAGTATGTTTCTCGTCTGCTGTCCTAGCCGTACAATATCTACTCATTAACAAATGTTGGTTATGATGACTTTAATATCTGTATTTTAGTGGTAACGTGCATGCTTTACCTCTTGTGTGTGTGTGTGTGTGTGTGTGTGTGTGTGTGTGTGGCGACGGTGTAAAGTCCACACATTGTTACGGTCACCAGTGACCTTCCTAATGTATCTCTTTGACAGTCACGTCAGTAACCTAAGATATCTTGACATCACGGACATACCTAAGTATCTCTTTGACAGTCACGTCAGTAACCTAAGATATCTCTTTGACAGTCACGTCAGTAACCTAAGATATATCTTGACAGTCACGACAGTAACCTAAGATATCTCTTTGACAGTCACGTCAGTAACCTAAGATATCTCTTTGACAGTCACGTCAGTAACCTAAGATATCTCTTGACAGTCACGTCAGAGTGACCTTTCTAAGATATCTTGATTCTTCCTCATATCAGTCACCTGTGTTTCCTCAGCACCAAATATCATTTGCTGTGTAAATTGTATAACTCGTACGAGATTAGTCCTTCCCCATGAATATAATAATCGCTTAGTAAGTTGGTGACCGATGTATCTTAGAAGAGTGAAATCTGGTACTACAGAAGGCCGAGTGTAGTAGGTCTGTCAGGGAGAAAATTTAATAGGTCGCTACAGTAAACATTGCATAATAAGGTACATTGCCGCTGATTGGTTGGCTTTTATTAAGAACTACCGGAAGACTTAAATTTTAAAGGAAATACTTAGAGGTGTATACTGGAACCAGAGATTCTAAGTGTTTGTATCTTGGGCACTAGGCTGGGCACTAGGCTGGAGACGCTTGAATACACTTGCAGTGTACTCTTTGGAGCTATAGAGAGATACCTCGAAATATATACCTAGATGATATTGGAGACCGTAGTGTCAACTTTACACACTACCATAACTGCTTATTGGAGTGCGAGATATCGGAGGAAGTGTAAAATAATTCCAGTGAAAAGCAGGGGCGCCATGAACAACAATGATAGAAAACCCTTGTGTCAACATCCGTGGTCGAATAGTCTTCAAGGATGATGGACTGCTTACATCGTCTTCACAACCTTTCGGTATTTTATACCATTTTAATATTCAGTGTAGATGTTGCAGACACTCGTGCAACATTTGGGTGTCTTCATTGTGGAAACATTTCACCATCCAGTGACTTTATCTATCCGACACATTGCGTTAGATTAGCGAAACATTTCCACAGTAAAGATAACCAAGTGTTGCACAAATGTCTTGTTCATCTACTAGTCGTTTTTATAAACCATGTATATAATAATAACTGAAGTGTAGACCAGTAGACTAAAACTAATCATATTAACAAGGTAAGATTCGTTAGGAAATAGGACAACTGCTTTCTGACGCGGGTCTCAGTCGTTGATGACCCACCACTGGAGCTTTAGGTGATCTGACCGAAGCCTTTCACTGGCTTACTATGGGTGTGTAGGTTAAAATTCGTCTTAGGTGCCAATGTATGATAATTGTCAGTGAGCAGAGTGCAGTATTTGTTGGTAAAATGTGTGGGTGGTGGGCAGTGCACAAACCTGGGAAGATGAGGTTGAGAGAGAGGTTAAAGGTAGTGATCCTTGGAAGACCTCTTCATCCCCTGCTAATGAAGTATTACACACCTGTTAAGGAAGCATTTAGCAAGACCACCTCAAAGGTTTACGAAGGGGAGTAATCTTGGCAGTTAGTTATACAAGTATACAGCAGAAACAAGAGCGAGCCATGGAAGGTGAACATAAAAGACGGGGGTCACCGCACTCTGCGTGAGCTGCTGTGAAGTATCAGTGTAATCTGAAAGACGATATGTACTCCAACCTCTCACTAGCGGTGTCTTCATGCCGGTCATCCAAGGATCTCATCTTATCCTCCACTTCCTTGGATCCAACCTGAATGCCTCCCATTTCCCAGGTGCAATATGACCTCTACGGGTTTAGTGCTGCCTTTTGATTAATATAAAATATATGAAATTCGCCAAGTTGTGTGTGTGGGGGGGGGGGGTCGAGTCTCAGTTCTTGACCTCGTCTTCGAAAATCTTTTGATCCCCAGTGCTGGTTTCTGTCCTTTTGATTCTTATCATATTTCTCCTCAGACTTCCGCTCATTTTATTATTGATCTTTTCTCTTCTTCTCCTGTCCCTCCATGTTGTACTTGTTAACATAGCTGTCACCGTCTCCGTTTGTATATTTTGTTCTTCTATGTTGAACTTCTGGGATATTTAGGATTTATGGTCTGTGTTTTCCGGTGTGTGTGTGTGGGGGGGGGGCAAGTTGCAATTCCGCCTGGCTCTCACACTTAAACCACTCCGCCTTCATCATAAAATGTGCGTTTAGAAATTATTTACTAAACGTGCAAAGGAAAAATGTTTGTCAAAATATAGAGGTCAGTTACTGTATGAAGGTGTGTTGTATTGGTGTGTTGCAGGTGGTGGTAAAGTTATACATGTATTACGTTGTGTTGCAGGTGGTGGTAAAGTTATACATGTATTACGTTGTGTTGCAGGTGGTGGTAAAGTTATACATGTATTACGTTGTGTTGCAGGTGGTGGTCGCCAGTTCGGCCGGAGCTACATCGTCTACGGGGACTCCGTCAGTGTCGCTGTCGAAGGGGACGCTCTTCTCTGACTCCCCGCACATCATCATCGGGACAGGTATTGTCACTTTACCTGTCCGTTACTCTTTAACGTTGGACAGTTGAGTTGTTCCGCTTGCATTTCCCTCATTACCCAATATTTATCACCTTATTTTAATCCCCTCTTTACCAGGCACTCTCTGCGTCATTACCTCACAATATAATTACCATATTGTCTAATAATCTCGACCCACAATATGGAGAGAAAATATTGATGTTCCCGAGTTGTTATGAAGTCACGACATAATAATGATCCAGGACGGAGTGAAAAGTGTTTTAACTATATTTTAGGTTAGTTGCGAGCTAAAGTTTTTATATTCTTCTAATCCCACTCCCGCTACTCTTAACCCGTTCACTTCCTTGCTACTTATACCCGTGTTATTATATTGCACATTGCAGCTATGAAATTTTATTGCAGTGAAGTGTGCATACAGAGTATTTTACAAGGTAGCCTTAGAATTCGAAGACTACAACTACTCATTCCTACCAGTAAACAATCGTTTGTTGTACGTGCTGTTTGTATCGTGGGTTGGAGCCGCACTCATACAAACAAAACAAAGTGCTGTCTGTAAAATCTTAGTGCTGTAAGCTTCGTGGCTCATTGTTACAGCGTTGAGTCTGTTGCACGCTCGGACCATGGTTCGAGTTCCCGTCCATTCTTCTTTATATATATATATATATATATATATATATATATATATATATATATATATATATATATATATATATATATATATAATATATATATATGGCTACATCATTTTATTATTTCCCTGTTGTGACATGTACATATCCGCCTTCATAGATAGAGGCTTTTCGTTTCAGTTAGTCAGAGTTTTGTATCGGGATATTTTGTGCTTCCAGGTGTAGTATTCTCGCAGCTCCTCTGTATTCACAACCTCGCCAGCAAATTGCACCAATATAGGCACCCATTGAAATTTTTCTGTCAAATCTTGTGAAGTGATAACGTCTTTTTTTGTATTGTAAACGCTGAGAAGCATTATATTGGCACTTTTGATGGTGTGTGGTGAATATTGGTGCTGGAGGGTTGTTGTGGGGTTTCTGGCGTGATGGATGTACTGTTACAATATATAGGTGTGTGGTGATGGTACTTCTCCAGGTGTGTGGTGATGGTACTCTCTTCAGGTGTGTGGTGATGGTACTCTCTTCAGGTGTGTGGTGATGGTACTCTCTTCAGGTGTGTGGTGATGGTACTCTCTTCAGGTGTGTGGTGATGGTACTCTCTTCAGGTGTGTGGTGATGGTACTCTTTCCAGGTGTGTGGTGATGGTAATCTGTCCAGGTGTGTGGTGATGGTACTCTCTCCAGGTGTGTGGTGATGGTACTCTCTTCAGGTGTGTGGTGATGGTACTCTCCCCAGGTGTGTGGTGATGGTACTCTCTTCAGGTGTGTGGTGATGGTACTCTCTTCAGGTGTGTGGTGATGGTACTCTCTCCAGGTGTGTGGTGATGGTAATCTCTTCAGGTGTGTGGTGATGGTACCCTGTCCAGGTGTGTGGTGATGGTACTCTCTCCAGGTGTATGGTGATGGTACTCTCTTCAGGTGTGTGGTGATGGTACTCTCTCCAGGTGTGTGGTGATGGTACTCTCTTCAGGTGTGTGGTGATGGTACTCTCTCCAGGTGTGTGGTGATGGTACTCTCTTCAGGTGTGTGGTGATGGTACTCTCTCCAGGTGTGTGGTGATGGTACTCTCTTCAGGTGTGTGGTGATGGTGCTCTGTCCAGGTGTGTGGTGATGGTACTCTCTCCAGGTGTGTGTGATGGTACTCTTCGTTTGGTGATGACTCTCTTCAGGTGTGTGGTGTTGGTACTCTCTCCAGGTGTGTGGTGATGGTACTCTCTTCAGGTGTGTGGTGATGGTACTCTCTCCAGGTGTGTGGTGATGGTACTCTCTTCAGGTGTGTGGTGATGGTACTCTCCAGGTGTGTGGTGATGGTACTCTCTCCAGGTGTGTGGTGATGGTACTCTGTCCAGGTGTGTGGTGATGGTACTCTTTCCAGGTGTGTGATGATGGTACTCTTTCCAGGTGTGTGATGATGGTACTCTTTCCAGGTGTGTGGTGATGGTACTCTGTCCAGATGTGTGGTGATGGTACTCTGTCCAGGTGTGTGGTGATGGCGCTCTCTCCAGGTGTGTGTTGATGGTACTCTCTCCAGGTGTGTGGTGATGGTACTCTCTCCAGGTGTGTGGTGATGGTACTCTCTCCAGGTGTGTTGTGATGGTACTCTGTCCAGGTGTGTGATGATGGTACTCTGTTCAGGTGTGTGGTGATGGTACTCTGTCCAGGTGTGTGATGATGGTACTCTGTCCAGGTGTGTGGTGATGGTACTCTCTCCAGGTGTGTGGTGATGGTACTCTTTCCAGGTGTGTGATGATGGTACTCTTTCCAGGTGTGATGTGGTTCAGGTGTGGTATGTACTCTGTCCAGATGTGTGGTGATGGTACTCTGTCCAGGTGTGTGGTGATGGCGTTCTCTCCAGGTGTGTGGTGATGGTACTCTCTCCAGGTGTGGTGATGGTACTCTCTCCAGGTGTGTTGTGATGGTACTCTCTCCAGGTGTGTTGTGATGGTACTCTGTCCAGGTGTGTGATGATGGTACTCTGTTCAGGTGTGTGGTGATGGTACTCTGTCCAGGTGTGTGATGATGGTACTCTGTCCAGGTGTGTGGTGATGGTACTCTCTCCAGGTGTGTGGTGATGGTACTCTGTCCAGGTGTGCGATGATGGTACTCTGTCCAGGTGTGTGATGATGGTACTCTCTCCAGGTGTGTGGTGATGGTACTCTCTCCAGGTGTGTTGTGATGGTACTCTGTCCAGGTGTGTGATGATGGTACTCTGTTCAGGTGTGTGATGATGGTACTCTGTTCAGGTGTGTGATGATGGTACTCTGTCCAGGTGTGTGATGATGGTACTCTGTCCAGGTGTGTGATGATGGTACTCTGTCCAGGTGTGTTGTGATGGTACTCTGTCCAGGTGTGTGATGATGGTACTCTGTCCAGGTGTGTGATGATGGTACTCTCTCCAGGTGTGTTGTGATGGTACTCTGTCCAGGTGTGTGATGATGGTACTCTGTTCAGGTGTGTGATGATGGTACTCTGTCCAGGTGTGTGATGATGGTACTCTCTCCAGGTGTGTTGTGATGGTACTCTGTCCAGATTTGTTGTGATGGTACTCTGTCCAGGTGTGTGATGCTGGTACTCTGTCCAGGTGTGTGATGATGGTACTCTGTTCAGGCGTGTGATGATGGTACTCTCTCCAGGTGTGTGGTGATGGTACTCTGTCTAGGTGTGTGGTGATGGTACTCTGTCCAGGTGTGTGGTGATGGTACTCTGTCCAGGTGTGTGGTGATGGTACTCTGTCCAGATGTGAGGTGATGATGTTACAGTTGTACTCACAGTATACATTGAGTTACACCCTCATTAACTTTAATAGAAATATCCCCATCATTGAGAGTACATTTTTATCACCCTGGTTCATTTAGTGAGAGAATTACGCATTGGGTAGAATTTGATAAACTCTTTGGAGACGTCACTCCCTGTTTGACTATCTCTGAATGTTTGGTGCTCCTTCCCAGTCTGATATCTTAGGCAGTCACTACGTTGTCTCTTCCTGAGGTACTTTCTGATGTCTGCACCACGGTCTCTCGTGGGGTACAATATCAGATGCCTTCTTGCAGTCCGAGAAATGCAATCAAGTCACGGTACGTGTGGGGTTAGAACCCATGGTAAGTGAGTCGCAAAACTCCAGGCCAGTGCGTAAGCCACTGGACCAGCTGGCTACAATAAGAGTCAAGACATTCAATATATTGTGAAGATTCTCTGTATCTTATGCTCGTACGTTATTATTAATACTGATGAGAGAAACAATACATATTGCGTGGGATTCCTTGGAGATTTGACGGTTGAAGTAATACACACTTGGTTGGGTGGTAACACTATATTGGCAGAGTCGTGAGGGGAGTATAGCCCAGCCTACCTGTTCTTGTCTGTGCCTGAGGACGAAGTGAGAGAGGGTGTCTCTCATACCTTACTCACATGGACATAGCTTGGTGACGTCACAAACTGGTCACTGAACCTAGCTGAAGAGATCCTAAATATATATAAAATTGGTGATACAATTTACGATATACGACACAAGTATATTACATGAGGAATTCAGTAACCCTACTGACATACGTAGTGTATTAAAGTATGGGGATATTTTTGACAGTAAGCTTCATTGATTCAGTTTAAGGTAATTATTTGCAATCCCGGGATATTGTTACATTCAAGAATCTCTACACTGGAAAATATCTTGTGATCTTAAAGATAGCTAATTTGTATTCCACTGTCCTAAAAAAAATTGTTGCCTTTTTCCACCCTGTTGGCTGCAATTACTTTTATGATTTTTTTCACTGGGCTTGTTAGATTCTTCATTTTAAAGGTTATAACCTGAGACCGGGTCACGGGGGCGGTGATCCACTGAGCTATAAATAAGGGAGTTATTATGTCTGGTTATGACAGGCAGGATGTTGCCTGTGTTGCATCATTCATAACTCTGGTGGACCAGTGTTAGATCATTCATAAGAAACGTACCAGTGTTGCATCATTCATAACACCAGCGTACCAGTGTTTCATCATAACACTGGTGTACCAGTGTTGCATCATTCATAATGCAGGCATACCAGTGTTTCATCATTCATAACACAGGCGTACCAGTGTTGCATCATTCATAATGCAGGTGTACCAGTATTGCATCATTCATAACGCAGGCGTACCAGTGTTGCATCATTCATAACACAGGCATACCAGTGTTGCATCATTCATAACGCAGGTGTACCAGTGTTCTATCATTCATAATGCAGGTGTACCAGTGCTGCATCATTCATAACGCAGGCATACCAGTGTTGCATCTGTAGACAGTCTGTACTGTCTGCACAGACAGCCTATGCTGTCTGCCAGCTTAGTTCATATTTTGCGGCACTAAGGTGCTGCCCTCTCTCGGCCTGCCCAGGTCAGTGGG